TTAGCATTTTATATTAAATATGAAATTGAAGATTTTATTTATATTTGTTAAAAAATTTTATTAATTTATTTATTTTAATTTATACTTTACAAATTTACTTGTCTTTTATAATTTTTTATAGCATTAAAAATTATAAAAAAAATTATCCTTATTAAAAAAGACAAAAAAAAAATATTTTTAATAAAAATAAAGATTATTTTCTTGTTAAAAAAACTTTAAGTTAAACAAAGAATATTTTTTTTTTATTAAAAAATAAAAAACGTTCATTAAAATATATCATGTGCAATGATCTTCAACCAATAAAAATTAATTTTTTATGTGATGATCCCCTCATAAACATCACCTATAAAATCAGATGTCCACTATGCTACGCTGTGCTTACTGCTTATATATATATCTAATAACTAATCACATGATCTTTTTGCGTTCCATGATTTGTTCTAGAAATTCTAGAATTTTCTTGATTACCATAACAGGTATGATCTACATTTTCCAAATTTGAAAAACCCCCGACTGTAATTCGATCAGTGACGTCTGAACTAATCAAAATCAATATTACGTAAGAGGCGAAAAAATCTATGGCGATACTGGTTAAATCACACTGTATGTTTAAACACGTGACATGCACGATTCTGACATTAATGAAAAGTTGTTCAAAATTGATTTTTTTGCATGTAGACATGCGGTATCTCATTCAACGAAACGATATAATAAATTTTGGTAATTATCGTGTACGCTTTGACACTTCGCCTGTGTGAGGGAAAAAATAAACATTACACGACACAGTGTACCACGAAAATCGTTTTAAAAAAAAGCTATTTTTTTTATAGTATTCTTTCAATATGATTTTTTGTCCTTTTCGAAAAATTTGGTGGCGCAATAATTTCAATAATGAAAAAAGCTTGGCAATAAGTGATTTTAACAACTGCCTAAAATAAGGTTACATGTAAATTCGTTACGTCTAGTTACACAAGAAGGTCAAATAGAATTTTTTTATCTCAATTCATTCTATGAATAAAAATAAACAATGATATAAATGCAATAAATTTATTCTCTTTTCTCACTTCTCACTCACTCTTCTCAAAACCCAAAAATTTCAATCAACTGTTAATTAAACTTATTATTAAAAAATTAAAAAGAAAATGACAGAAATTTTGGAAATTCCTCCTTTATTAGTAAAAGATAGGGGAAAAACCATCAACCTTACTTTTGAAAATGGCATTCTTTCAATTGGTTAGAATAAATATTTTATAATTTTTTTATTATTACTTTTTTTTACATAAATATTATCAATTATATATTAATTTTATATTATATTTTTTTTTATTTATCACATAATTATAAATTGTTACAATATTTTGAAAAAACAATTATGATAAAAAAAAATATTAATAGCTGAAAAAAAGATTCCGTCTAGAAACATTCTCGATGTTAAATTGAAAAATTCATCTTCAAATAAATTTAATAATCTTGTATCAGTAGAAATTAATGTTCTCAGTCCTTTTAGTGGAGGTAAAAAATTACGGTTGACAAACTTTACTCTTGAAGCAACTACTGCTGAACAAGCTACTTCATGGGCAAAATCGGTTAGAGATGTCGCATATAAAAGTAAAGTGATTCCCTTTTTATTATTATTATTGTTATTATTATTATTATTATTATTATTATTATTATTATTATTATTATTATTATTATTATTATT